AAAATCTGATCTTTTTCTTCTATTTAGAAAGCTTTATCCTCTTGTAACTAATCCATTCAAAAAAGGGCTGGCCCTCGGTCCTCCAACCAAAAGCTATCTCTGACACTGAGCTTCACCTAATTTACTGCAAACATCTGGGGTCATTTGCTTCTTTGTTTTAACAAGAAAAGGCGGAAAGCTTGTCCTGGCATCTAGAACTCTTAGGGTCATAAAACACAAGATAAGCTCTCACAGACTCGGTGTGGAATGCAGGGGGCCTCACCATAAATTCTCAGGAACAAACTGAGAACTTGTTCAAAATAAGAAATATGTTCACAAGGAGAGTATACAACATACCTTTTACACATGCCATAAGATTAAGTGTATTAAAGTCTAAAAATAATCATTTTTCTTTAACAATATATAATAATTTAGAATCTTACGATAAGCAGAAACACATGAAAGATGTTTAATTTCATTAACTTAACACATTTAGACTTAACATGTCTAAATGTGGTATAATAATGTTGGCACTAACTTGGTGCCTGATAAAAATCCATGAATCCAAACTAAAGCTTTTTTTTTTAAAAAAAAGCTACATTAAAACACTTTTTGCAATATCCTAAGGTGGTCCTTAGGTCCATTGCTGTTTGTCCTGCTTTTATTATTATTGTAGGTCCTTACTTAAACCAAACTCACAGCTGGTCATATAAACACAACTCTGTCAGTCTATAGAAAGTTTTTTTTTAGTTGGATTTCTTTTTGTTGATAAATCAGGCCTCATTAGGTGCTTTCATTTGGACTTTTTCCTTAATGCACCTTAGATGAGGAATACTTCATAACTGACCAAACTAAAGTAATTTCCTCTCTTCTCTAAAGAGGGTAAGCCTATCCATCCATTAATAATGTTTTGATTTCATCTTCAGTTCAATCTGGACAAAATCGCCCAGTTGTCAGACCAGTTTTACCCTTTTAATCAATGAAATATTTCCTTAACACACAGGAAGTGTAAATCCGGTTGAGCCTAAGAATCCTGGTATCTAAAGGAACCCAAGAAACAACAGACACATTCCTTTCTTCTCTTTAGTTTCTGTCTCAGGCGTTCTTGATTATTTGCCAAGTATCCACTCAGGGGTTTTGCAGGTAACAAGCGTTTTCTCTTTAAAGTTGATAAGAAGTCTTGGACATACCACTCATGATTCGTCATGGTCAGTAGAGTCAGTGACATACTTTCTGAGGAATATCTGTTTATCAAAATAAACAAAAAGTGATATATCTCACTGTAGCTGAAAGGGGAAATGAAAACTGAAAATGAAAAAAATATTTTTCATATTGGTATTTTTTCCCTTTAATTTCATTTTCTCATGATCAAAGCAACTATTTATTTTCAAAAACCACTTCCTACAATTCTTTGTTTTGTAATGCCATTCTAAAAAGCTGAACTTAAATTTACATTAAATATCTTCTTAATAGTACTTCGTACTCATACTTTGGTCCGGTTACCCATAGGCCTTCATTTTGGCAGAGATCTTCCCTTTTGCAGTTAGACGTTAAAATGATTCACACTCGTCTGGTTCCTGTTCTGCAACAGTTCAATCTGAAAAACTCACACGGCTGGACACACAGTGCTTAATTTTTATAGATATGTTTCCCCCCAGGCCTGGTGGTGTTGTGGAGATAGATGAAGTTGGTCAGTCTTTAGACTGCTGGTTAGTGAGACGGTATGCTGAGGTTTATGGGGAGATCCAGTGGACTGCGTGAGCTGATACTAGAGCTTCACCTCTAACCTGTCTATGATGAGCAAGCATGAAGCGACAGTGGAGAGGAAAAACTCCCCGTAGGGAAGAAACCTCTGGCAGAACCAGGTTCGACATGGTGGTCTTCTTCCGGACCGGTTGAGATGAAAACGCAGTGAGACTCTGATGAAGCTTTAGCTACGATGGTGGAGGAGGGGCTGGAGGTGGGTTGAAACTTTGTCATCTGATTGAAGCGCATCCGCCGCCTGCGCACAGGAACAAACAGCTGATTGGCTGTGTCGCAGGTGGATGTAGGAGAGCAATTCGTTTCTTCAGCTGAACCTCCGACTAGGCTCCATTTCACATCGTATATATACCGTAAGTTTATGATAAAAATAGTATTTTATAATCCAATTACTTTTATCTAAGTTACTTTCCTACCTTAGCTCTTTCTATTAATCTTGTAAACCAATTTGGCTTTCGAAAAACAGCAATATAATGGGCTAGATTTTTAATGTCTAGTCATAGATCATAAAGTTTATTGCATTTCTTTGCCCATTTTCCTCTCAGGAGACATTTCTTGATATTTAATTTAGTGTAATTATCTTTAAAACACACACTTAAAACCATGCAACTTGTGGCAATGTGTTGCACAGTAATATGAGGCAAACCAGCAAACATTCAAACTGCAAAAAACGATCTAGAAATAAACATTTCTTAAGTGTATTTAGCCTCAATTTTAGCAAGTAAATAAATTAGCCAATGGAATGCATCGTTTTAATCTTAAAATATGATAAAATGCACTTCAAATAAATAATTCAATTGTTTTTTTCTATTGAAATGTACATTTTCTTGTTCCATTGGCCCCTCAATTCAAGAAAAAATGACTTGTGATTTCAAATTTTGCAGTGCATATCTTAACCAGTAAAACAGGTGGATACATTAAACAGTAATGAAAGCAGTGATAAAGTTAGATTATATTACAAAGTAATCCCATAAAGGGTTTCTTTAGGCCCACATAGATCTGACTTTATGGATGACAGCATCACCATCTGGTGGAGATTTAGAGCAACAGCTCTAGAATCTTTAGGTTTGTTTGGAGCAGAGAACAAGACCACACAGACTGCTCCAGGGGTGAAACATTTTTACTGTAGTGCTACAGTATCAACACATGAATGAAAACATTACTGTCTTATATTATTGTGTTCCATTCAACAAAAATATCTGGCATGTAGAATCCCCACAACATGGCAGCAGAGTAGAAAACATGAGTGAAAAGAAGAAACTTAAGGTATTAATCCAAGCATTCATAGGGCTGAGCTTCTGTTGTGCTGTTGGTTCTCTGCAGGACGATTACTGGTGATCAGAACGTAACTCGGAGACCAACAGATCCACCATCATGGCTGTGTTGTGTTTAAATAAAAAATACAAAAAAAAAAGACTTCCAGGCTTACATGTATTCAATCACGCTGGAGCACATAACCAGACCAACTGGCTAACCCTAAAGGAGTGATTGTTGCTCCAGGTCCTTTGTCCTGAATTAGTGAAGACACGGTGAATCGACTAATAAATACATTCTCAGATCTCTTTGAAATTGACGGCCAGACAAATATATACAAAGTGATTAAAAGTCAACTTTTTTTTTTTCATTACTAAGTGTTTACAACTAAGACAGTCACTTGGAGGTGGTGCAGACCACGGTGGACACAGAAATCCCTTCTCTTAGGCTCATATACTCTTGTTTCCCTGTTCCTTCCTTCGCACTGAGACTGATTGTACGCAATTCACTCGTTCAGTGGTCCAGACCGATGCTATCTACCATCCCTTCAGATACAGCAGGCACACAAATATAAAGACACTCTGTTTGGCTTTCTGCCCTGCCTCCAACTCGTTATCCTTCCTTTCTTCCGATGTGTCACAAAGAGCACATCCTATTTTCCCTGTAAACAAGAACTCTGTCCTTTCAGAGTATAAATACTGTTTTGGTAAAATCATTCTTAAAAAGACGAGACAGAGTGTATTTGAGTGAACATTAATAAAAAAACAAAAAAGAACCCCACAATTGCACGGTTTGAAGATGTTATTTCTTCATTTGTATAATTATATCCGGTACTTTTCCTCTTTTTTTGGCTTCATAGTTAAGGCCGAAAGTCTGAAATGGAAGGGGAGCAGGAGAAGTCCAAGACGTGATCTGCTTGTGCCCATAGGGCCTAGTGATAATACAAACACCACACTTACAGAGGCACGCCCACAGATGAACAGTATTGCAGGGCAACGTTTTATATATATGCATGTGTATAAAAAAAAGACACTAAGGAATGGTGAAAAAATCCTCTCTGTCATTTCTTTCATCAAATCATTCAGTCTTCCAAGTATAAATTCCCTTTCCTTTCCAAAGTGCGAGGGTGCCGGTGCTGTTTCAGTCTGGCTACACTAGGAGGTGCCGTTCCTCTCTGCAGGTGACTGACAGGCGGTTGCTGTGGCTGTGTTTATTGCTATTAAGTCCATGCTCCTCTTCTTACAAAGGACTCAAAGGGAAGAAGTTTCCCTCCGAGCACTGATCTGAGGTCTCCGTCGCCTTAATGGGAGTCTGTGTGCTTTTTTTGGAAGCTTTAAATCCAGGCCGGTGCTGGAGGGAAACTTCTTCCTGTAGGAGCTGGCTCAGGTGAAGACGTAGTTGAGGAGCAGTTGGGAAAGGAGCAGAACGCAGAGGATGAGGCAGTGACGGCCGGTTAAGGACGTGGAGTCGTCTGTGGCCCTCTGCCGAGACAGCTGACGACTCAGAGCCACCAGGTTCCTGCAGACAGACAGAGTCACAATGTTTTGGAATTTCACAATCATTCATGTTAGAAAAGTGAAAATATCAGCACCACAACCAATATTAGTTATTAGGCACTAAAAATGTAGGCCTTATGTGCTGGTAAAATATTATGTACTTGTTTAATGCAGCAAAAATATTTAAGAAAAAACATTCTTGGCTGAAGTAAAGAATGAAGGAAACTATTTCAAATCTATCATAAAGACATTAACATCTTTTAATATTTATTACAGGTCATATGATAATCACAGATAGCAAATCAGCACCAACTTAAAAGATCAGAGTGATGGAAAGGACGATCAAAGAAGAATAAAAAAAAAAATTAATAAAAAACACAAACATCGGAAACATGTAAAAAGCTTCTTTGCTGTGACACCAATAAGGATTTTTTTTCAATTCTTCATAAGGGTCTGAATCATGTAGCATTATCGTTGTTCAATGAAATATACTTACGACTTTTTTTTTGTTTAAAAGTAAATTTTCCTTTGACAATGTGATGTTTTATAAGAGAAGCGCACCTCATTTCCCAATTAAGACCAACTTATTGATTGTATGAGTGATTCTAAATCTATTAACTGGGATTAATTTAGTTTTATTTGATCCTCAGATAAATTCTAATGAGATCTTCTCACCTTTGAATATCCTGCTGGGTTTTCTGTATGGATGTGATGGAGGCTTCGATCACAGCAATATCCTTCACCTCTTTACTGCAGCGGGCACATTGGGTAGAGAAGCCTGGACACAGAAATATAACAAAACACAACAATAAACTAAAGGGTAAATATTTACAAAACGAAATTCAGTTTGTACTTTTCATTTTTACACTAAGTATTTTAAAGAAAAAAATATTTTATCTTAGCAGAAGAAAATTCCATGTAGAAAAACCCATCAAACCCAGAGGAAATATCTTAAACCGATCCAATTGATAAATATTGATAACTATATATATCTAGCCAACTGATAGATATCTAAAATGGGACTTTAGAGACTTTGTTCTTCAGTGGGTTCCTTATATTCTGTGCCGCTGCATCAGACCTTGCTGTAAATGGAAATGCTAAACTGGATTTTCTGCCTGATTTGAAGCTAAAAACCCAAGGCAGATTTAAAGGAACAGGATCAGGAAGGATTAGAGAGGATAGCTTGAAGTCATGCTTCAACAATTTTGAGCATCACTTAAATTAAAGCACAGACACTGAGGCCAACTACCTAATATGACCTCATCTACGCACAGCAGCTCTTTTTAAAATGTTTGGGCTTTTTAGTATCTAAAGTTCTTAAGGACCTAATGCTTCTCAACCCTGCAAACCCTGAATATACAGAATGAATAAGAGATGTATATGGAGCAGGACACCAACAGGTAATATTGATAGCATGAAAGAAATGTTTTATCATTCATTTATTTAACGGATTTCTAAAGAAATAAAGTAATTATTAAAATATTCCTGTTAGATGCCTTTGCATATTCTTGGGCAATTCTCAAGAAAAAAATAAACCTGCTTTAATTAGCGGCAATCATTTATAACCCAACTTCTTCTAAAAGGACAAACACCAAAGGTTAAAATAAATATTTCCCTTCTGTCCTCAAACCTTTAATTGCAACATAAGTGAATAACCCATCTGCTGACGTCAACCTATGGTAGAGTTCAGAGGAAATGGCCGCTGAAGGCGTTCCTTGTATCCTTGCTTGCATCTGAATGCATCCTCACCTTCATTATCTGAGGATTCGTGTGTTGGTTCTGGAGTGGTGCTGCTGCTCTCCGTGTTCTGGCTGCAGGTGGATGGCTGGCTGCTTGTTTTCCTGTGTTTCCCATTTATCTCCGACTGTGAATGACAGATAAAACACATTTTTTATTTTTATATATAGGAATCAATATGTATGGGGAAACCAAGCTGAAATGAAGAATGTGTTGTTCTTCATTTTAGCTTGGTTTCTTTAAAGCAGCTGAAGCGTAGCTGCAGTCTGACTCTAGAGGAAACAGCTCTGCATTCATGGAGTAAAACTACTCAGGGCATCTATTGTTATCTATTCATTTATTTACCTCATGTGAGGCTTGTTGGAAGGAAGATCCCAAAGTCAAGCGTTTCACTATCGATCATTTTAAATCAAAGTGAATTTGCAGTTTCACCTTGTGTTGCCTGGTCCAGGTGTGGCTGTAGGAAAGCCCGTTGTGTCGTCTATGGATCTTCTCTTGCGTCTGAATCACTCCATCCTTCTCAAACTGGACGAGGCAAGCCTCGTTGTCCCACGGCCGTGTGCTGAAAAGCAAAAACGCGATCCTTAAAGCAGATCTTTTATATGGTGTAGTCTGGTTCTGATAGACAGAGTGGGTTGGTCATACTCGAGGTGGATGTAGGTCCACTCTGAGGTGACGGGATCCTGCTGGAAAAGTTTTGGGATCCAGGCTCTCTCTCCTCTCTCTTTGGCTTCTCTCCGCTGAGCCTCCTCAAGGACAAACTTCTCCTGAGTTGCCCTCACTTGGTCCCGATCCAGGATGGCGCTGGTAACGTGCTGCCACAGCCTGTTGGAACATCCCCCAATCAGTTCAGCTGTTTAGAATAAACAACTAGACACTTAAGATAAAAAAAAAAAATTGTTTTTACATTTGGCAAATAAAATCTGAGTGTTTTAATGAAAAATGATGGCGGTGTTTGTGTTCCTTTGGTGACAAAATGTTTAGACAGCTACATATCCTCTAGGCTTTATTTATCTATAATAGTTGGACTGCTGCAAACTTAGACTAGTTTTATCTCAGTTCACACAGGTGGAGAGGCAGTTTGTAAAGTCTGCTGTGGTTTTAGACAAGTAAAACGCGTCCCATGAGGTTTACCTTTCAGACTCAAACTCCCCCTGCTGGTCTAACTGGACCACTTGTCGCTTGAGGCGCCTGCTGCGGATTTCTTGAGTTGGGTTCCACAATGTCTCCTGCTGGCCGGAGCGCTTCTCCTGAATAAACACCTCGCTGTCCTGATTTGAAAAATTATAAGAAGTTTAAGCTGATGTATGACATTAGTAATTTGGTCTCTTACTGTTCTATACCGACAGTGATACGTCATTTATGTGGTATTAATAATAATCCTTTAGGGGAGATTATGGAGTCTCTTTCTTAAAGTGTTTGCCTTCTCCTTTAGAAACTATAATTACCAAATGACAGTAGAAAATAAGTGAGCAACTAGTGTGAAGTAAACAGGGATGCTGAGAGTAGAGGTCGTCTCACCCAGTGTCCATCAATCGTGGCCATGAGTTCGTCCCCCATCATGATCTTTCCACTGATCTGATTTACTGAGCCGGCGCCTCCCAGGAAAGGCTACAGAACAGAAAGAAAACAGTTTATTTTTCTTTCAGAATAGGAAACGGTACAAATGATCTATTAAGTCCAACTCAGAGATTTAAACCAAGGTTTTAGGAAGTAGAATTTAGGACTGATGGTAACTTTAATATGATTTAAGACCCACATTAAAATGAGAAATAAACTTTTCAAGTTAACCAACAAAGATAGTTAAAGAATAGCTCATATTACACTTAGTAATTTTAGCTAAACATTACTTTCTTAGTTGAAGTTGATGTTTTAAGTTGTCACATGAGACATAAGGGTCACCTAATTTCAGCGTTCTCATACACTAAGCTTTCTAAAAGTTATGGAAGACAGATTTAAGGCAGTCCCATAAATTCAGCCAATCCTCGGCCATAACATGCTCCTGTTGTAGGAGTTTGTAGTGAATAAAGTGATGAGAACATATTGATTCTAATCAAATAGAGCTATATTCAGGACAAAACTAGTCACTAAGACTGATTCAGGAAAGCAGACAGGTTTGCTGCTCTGTGCCTAGTGGCTTCATCCCAGACTAAAACAGACGAATTGTCCAGCGAGAACTATAACCAATGGACTGAATGAATATGCCATAGGATGGCTACAAAAAGAAGAAGAAATGGAGACTATGAGAAGCACTAGATGTGGCTTAGTATATTAAACACCTACAATTTTAAGCCTTGAAGGATCTAAACAGCTTTAAAAATGACAAAATTATGAAATCTTTGATTTTTTAGGAAACCTGCAGAAACCGGCTTGAAGTTAAATTTGTTATGAACTTTAGTGCCACGTCCCCCTTTGGAAACAGTAGCTATTAAATGCATGAAGATACATTAATGAACAGGGCCATAAACAGAATGGGATTAAGTATCCAACAAGAATCAGAATCAGACATACTTTAATAATCCCAGAGGGAAATTATAGATCAACTAATGAGCCAAAAAACTCAATCAATTGGGGTTGTGGATCATTAAGTGTGGGGTTTTGACATTGACATGTATTGATAATGCTTTGTGTCATTTTTCATAATTCTGACATTTTTTTCATTTCCAAATTCACTTCCTTTTTGATAGCTCAACTTAAATCTTCTTTAAAGACATACCTTTAATTTGAACTCCAGCTCTGCATAACATTTCATCTTCTCGCATTCGATGGTAACTTTCCCTCCCAGCTCTAATGTCATGGTGCCATACAGGATTCCTACAGGAGGTAAAGCATCAGATCAACAACCCATCAGGTAACGATAATGTCTTGACTTTTACATTCTATTATCTGTAAACACAGTCCAAAATTAAAATCTGGAGAATAAAGACACAAATGATTTTGATTGTACCTATTAATCACATCTAATTCTAGATATCAGCCATGGCAGGGACCAGGTACAAAGCACTGTTTAATTTCCGGCAGCCCAACAAGTCGGCTGCAGCCTGAAGTAAAAGATGCAGCACACACAGGATTTGTCTGAACAAAGAGATGACTGTGTAAATAGGGTGGGCGAGTTTGCATATTAGCTTCCTGTGTTCTCTGCATGGCTGCAGGGCTGATAAGAACACCTGAAGTCAGTTAAAGAAAACAGGAACCATAAGATAAATTAATCAGGAAATAAGTTAGCAGGCTAGCACTGAATTTTACTTGAAAATAAAATAACAATATTGGTTTGTCAACAGTCTGTGCGAGACATAATTTCTGAGCAGAAACCAACGCAGCAGTCGATGCCCTCCTGTCTGAGGGCGCTGACTGACGAAGGCTTGAAAATGAACTCCATCTGATATCAGTTTAGCAGTAAACCTTCCTGCAGGGGCCTTTAGCTGAGCATCTGCTGATAACTTCATGTTCTTTTCCAATAGATGATGCACCTGGCTCTCTTTCCATTTAGCTCCTCCCTCTCTCTCTTTCTCAAAGCCACTGAAGAAGCTACTGCTGTGATCAACTGTGTGCTCTTTCATCCTATGAGAGCTGTCTCACAGCTTATCTGATTAGCTATGTTTCTCTGCAAGATGAACCCACTACAGGAGCTACGCTGGATTAGAGCATCTGTGGGCTTTGTTTGCTTGCTAGGCGTTCTCAACACCAACAATAGATAATAAATAACGCACCTTCAATTTGAAATATACTATGAATTTTACAGCATTTATTTTATAATTAGGATAAAATTGGAATAAAAACACATAAAAGATATCTATAGGATGAAGCTGAATGAAAATACATTTAAACTAGATAATTCTATGCTTTGGTTTTTTTGCTGTTCTTTCTGAACAACCTTAAGTGGAGTTTTTGCCGTCAAAACAGAAATCAAATCCAACAAAAGATTTTAAGAGATCTGAAAATAATCCTGCAAGAACATTTACCAAAAGGAATTTATTGAGATCAAAAAAAGCTCTGAGAAAAATAACCATTTAATTCAACTGGAGCACTATATACATAGTCTCCCACTGAATCAATACAATTTAGGACAAAAGATCCACATTTTAATAACTAATACACATTGCTGTACCCAAGCAGGATATTTAGAAGCAATTATTTTATCACCTTTATTTTCTTTCTATTAAAGAGTGAGATAAAATGGACCATAGTTAACAGAATATACAGACTATCAACTGATTAACGTGAGCAGGGAAGCTTTGTAACAGAAGCATCACCTTTGCAGTGAGCGTAGGGCATTGTGATGACATACTCCTCATCTCTGCTCAGGAACAGAAGTCTAGCTCTGCCGTCTAGAATAGCTGATAGAGAGTTACCTGTAAAAGGAAACAACGGACTGTTACTTATTCTTGAAGCTCATTTTCAATAAACTGGTCCTTATTTATCCTAACCAGTAACAGCACTGGGATCAAAGTAAGGATTAAGTCTGAAACCTATCTCATTTCAAACATGTGCATGAACCAGGCTGTTGATTTTAAGCTTAGATAGATTGTGTACCATAGAACTTGGATTTGGCCAGGATGCTTCCACTGATACAGAAACCATCCTTCCTGTTGCAAACATAAAAGGCAGAGATGGGAGGATGGTGCGACACCTGACAGAGAACAGAGGGAGAGACACGTTTAGGCAGCAGAGGGAGATAAACTGTGAGCCCTATACTGTTAGTCATCCCCTTAACAATATATCCCATAATAGATGAATCATGCTTTGCTTTTTTGAGGTTTAAATATGGGTTAACCTGCTCGGCTATGTAGAATGTGCAGCTGTTAGTCTGAGGATGGAGCCAGCAGCAGCGAAATGTCTCCCCTAGAATTGGGTTGTAAGGCTTCTTCAGACCCTGCAAACACAAAAATAGAAAAAACACAAAAAAAGTGTGCATCAAATAAAACATCCAGAGGCAAATTTCCTTTTCATGTCGTTAATTGTAGCAAACTACAAGTAAAACTGTAACACTATATGTAACACAATATTAAAATAGCCGCTGATACTCTGGCTTTAGCATCAGCAGACAGTGGTATTCTGTCAGCTGCATAATAAGAGGTAACGAGCCCATGAAATGAATCTATTAAGAAGAGTCAGCAAGAAAAGTGCCGAGTCAGGCCCCATTGATCCACAGGCATTTGCTACAAGCTCTAAAGAGGAAATAAATCCCTAACAAGTAGAAGCAAATGTAAGATGCCTTCCAACCTTTTTTACAACGGAAATCTGTTATTCAGCTCACACATAAAAGGTTACATGATGCCACTGTGTGGTGATTGATAAGCATTGAAAAGACAACTAAAACACAGCCAGTTAGAAATGTTCCTGTTCAGCAGAGTAAGAGTCCAAATGAGCAAAGAGACCAGAGGGTGTTCCAGCTATAACACAGCAAACAGTTAGCTGAAATCACTGATCCTCAATAAGAAGATACTTTCATCTGGTATCAACATGGAGATTCCTTTTTTAAATAGATAACTGCCGACTACACAACATACATCAGAGCTATCAGAGTGCACTAATGAGGCTCTTCATTGCAGTAGGTGTTACTGACGAACTTTGACTCAAATCCAGCAATTTTAAGTATCAGTAAGAAGAAAAGCTGTAATTTAAGATAAAAAACATAACTCCTGTCATACATTTAATTTAACCTGGAACAGAGAGAGGGAGAAGAAGACTTTCAGCAGATAACAGGAAGGCTGTCATGCAACATGTTGGATTCAGATACAGTTACCTGTGTTTCTCAGAGAAGAAACATGGAGATAGCAATGCTAGTGATGCTAAATGAAATTCATACCTTGGGCTTTTTGTAGAAGCCAGACAGATACCATCTCAGCACCTGCTTAATCCGACCGTATGCACTTTCCTCTAGTGAAGCCCTGAGAAAACAAAAAAATATTCAAAGATAAAAGAAAATGCTGAAATCCGTTTCATTGAATGTTCCCTTTCAAAGAAAGCATTACTTACTGTGAAAGCAGATCAGCATGATAATAGTAGTCAGACAGCTTGTCCAGGAAGGAACGAGGTTCCAGGATGAAGGTTGGCAGCACCACCTTTGAGAGGTCCATGCCAGGTCGCAGCTGCTTCAGCAGGCCCCAGATTAGACCCTTGTTCTCCTCCGATACGGTCTCAACCTGAGACGCTTCGCCAGCCTAAATGAAGAGAGGGGCAGGGCTTGTTCAGGTAGAGCGGTTGGTTTCAAGGCTTTGAAAACATCCTTTTGTTAACAGACATAAGAAGTAACTCCAAGAAAGAAAGAGGAAAAACATTTCAAATATATCAGGGCAACTCTTAAGCTGAATAAAGATGAGGAGGAGAGCTCCAGTCAAACAGAAGCTAATCCCAGCCCATTCACCTCAGCCATCTCCTCGGTGACCTGCTCCACATAAGCTGTGGCCTTTGGACCGGGGGACATCTCGTCCGAATGCTCGACGTCGCTCTCCTCCGTCAGCCTTCCGCCGTTTTCATGACCGGTGGTGTCCCAGTCGTCATGAATCTCACGCTCTGATTTGTCAGACGAGCCGTCATGCTCCATGTGATTGCCGAGGAGGGACGACTCATTCAACCTAGTAAGAGAGAGGAAACACAAACGTAAGCACTAATGGGACTAAATCAGTAACAAGAAATTAAAAGATTACACTATATTTTATATTGTTGAAAATAATGCCATCTTTTTTTTTTTTTTTTTTAATAAAAAGGTTAATTTTGTTTTCAGATAATACCTACAGTAGAATACATTTCAAATGTTAACATATCTTTATGTTGTGGAAGATAATAAACCCCCATTAAGTGTTTACAATATACTGGATGTTAACAATAAGGGAAAAACAAAGATTATGTCATGCTCTTTCAGGAGAATGAAATGATTGCATAAGACCAGAAACAGCTAAATAAATTCCCTAATAAATATTTTATACAAAGACCTGAAAAGTATAACTTATTTGGCAATAAACACCTTGTGGAGAAACACACCCCATCAATGGAGGATTTATTTAACTCAATAACCTGAAGTGATGTAGCCCTGAAAAAAAAACACCTTTGACAACTAAGGAAGTGTTTCACATCTTAAATAGTGAATCTACCCTAAGTACATGCGAGGACACTTAGAGCTGAGAAACATCTCATTTAAATTCATGCTGCATCCAATACCCACTTATAATTTGCACACTGAGAATTCGAGGCAAAACTAATCTAACCTCAGCTCAGTCTGCAGAAAACCAGAGAGTAGAGGAAGAAAAAATCAGATAGACTCATACATCAGCCTGTAAACAACCACACTAAGGAGAAGTGAAAATGAGAAAGAGATTTATGAGCGGTAAGAATGAAGGTTTGCTGGAGGGAACCGTCCTCCAGCCATTTATCAGTGCGAATCACAAGTCATAGAACATAAATGGTGCATACGTTTAATGCGAACGCAGGAAGACAAAAAGTTAAAACACATCGTGACACAGCTGCTTTCAGTGTGGGTCATTTAAAAAAAAAATTAAATCTGCACCTATCATGGGAACAGTGGACAGCAATTGCACCGTCACCTGCTTTTAAAACCAGGCTGTTATGCAACAATGACCAGAGACAACAAGGAAACAGCTCATGTTCTTTTAACAATGGGAAACAGCTCAGATTTCCAAAACTACCCTCTGGGACATGGCAATCCTGACAAACTACATTCCAACAGCACTCAATTATTATCCGCTCCACAGTGATATCTATTAATCCGAACACACCTCACAAAAATGCAAACTGCTTTCCCTTACCGTGAAAATAAATGGCATATAGGTTGGTTTTTCCCACAGGAATCCAACAACTGATAATGTTATCAGCAGATCCAAGCTCAGATGTGACTTGGCTTTCTCTCTCCTTGTTTCCTGTATGTGTGACGGGATCTGTCAGCTGACGAAAGGCTGCAGCTTTATCCCTCCAACACGTCTCTACCTGCTTCCTGAATGTGTCTGTAGAAAGTCCTGTGTGCCAAGGTGTGTATGTAAAGCCTGCAATGGCTGCGTCGTTTTTGGGTGGTGTGCTCCATCTTCCTGCTCTCCTGTCAGTCATGTGAGCAAAGATGGGGCTGTGATTGGTTGGGATGAAGGAAAGAGAGGAGGGGCTGCAAGAAGGGATGGCTGGGGGGGAGAGTTCAGGCATGGAGAAGGTAAGAGGAGGAGGAGTGAGGAGTGGAGCTAATGTAGGTTTAAATGGTTAAACGGGGATAGGGGGCTGCAACAACTATACATGTCAACACAGAAGGGAATTTAAATGTGCAAATGTAGCAACTAATTCTAAGTAAACATCTTATAATGAATGAATGTTTACCACACACAAAAATATTAAAAACAAGTGATGATTGCAAATCATCCATCAACTGGAAACTGGCATAGTCAACAGTAAACAGGATAATACTGATAGATTTTACTTTATAGTCAACATCAGTGATCAACCTTTACTGCAGAACTTTAGATGTTATATACATGATCAAAAACAGGGAATACATCAAAAAGTTTTAGCAAAAGCAACCAAAATCTATAGGAATTCTTGTTTTAACCTGCAAAATGCCTGAAGAGCTAATGTCAAACATCACTTTAAACAGCCTGACTGTACGTAATGACATACTGTATGGGTATGTCTAATCAAATTTTAATATCATGTATTAAATATCAATTTGAAAAATATCAAGTATTTTCTGTCCCTCATTTTAGAAAGTGAAATACATATTCTTTCGATTCATCAACACAATGATTTTTTCCTAACCTTTATTTCATGTCATTTTAGAGGTTATGCTTCCAGATAATGAAAACCAGAAATGCAGTGTCTTAAAAAATTAGAATATCACATAAAATAGGATCTCTAGAACATAATATTTTGAGAATAAATATTAAGCTTCTGTAAACATGGTTTCCAAGAGTTCAATTTAAGATTTTTAAAGACCAGTTAGAATAAAATTAAATACCCATTTCACAGGCTTACGGGGAAAAAGGGAATTTAAGAAAACATGTTTAATGAAGTCGGACTAAATATTAATTGTTAACCACACACAGAACACAAACAACAATTTAAGTGTCTACGAGTCAATTTCCCAGCTCTTCTCCCTTTGCCAAACTCTCCTTTTTTAATTAGAAGACAAGCTTAAATTGGAGGGAAACTAGACTTTCACCCAGTCTGGTTGCCAAAGGTCTCCCTTTTCCTTTAGTTCAATCTCAGCCCTCTTCTCCTTGGTGCCTCTCCTCAGAATGGTGTAAACCAGGATGAAAAAGGAAAGGTTTCTCTAACCACAAGCTGTTGTGGACTTTTCTTTGTTTCTTCTTCTCGTAAACTCAGTTATGCTATGTCCACAAAAGTACGCTAACGTTGGCCAAATCCCAAACCGACCCCTAAAAACTGAGCCTTAGCACTAACACTTTATTTGTGTGAAGGGTCCACCATATAAAGGATCGTCCAAAAGCCTGTAGTGGGTAGGGTGAGTGGTCCGTTCAGTGTTTTTATTTGATTGTACACATTTGATTTAAGAAAAGGGCAAATGTTTTTTTTCACGTCACAGAGCTACAGCCATGCACATGGGGCGTCACTGTGTTTCCATAGCAACGACTGCTTTCCTTTTCTGTTGGAGGGAAGAGGCACTCCCATTCTTGTTTATACACCCACCTTCATTCAAAGGACACTTGATAGTGAGATGATAGTGCTTAATGGGCAGTTTGGCTTCAGCCGTTAATATTGGTCAGAACGGGCTTTAGCTTTGCTGCATGAACGGTCCTGTGCAGGTCGAATTAAAACACGTGGAGACTTGCACCACTGCCACTGCTCAGCTAATAGGTGCTAGCTTGTTAGCTGTCTAGACCAGGAGCTTTCCTGAATGTCTTATGACGATCTCAAACGATGCATTTCTAATAAACAACCCGTCACTTAGCCAGGCAGCTTGCTAAGCTTATAATACTCCAGGGGAAACTGCCTATAATTTAAGACCCATGACATCAGATATCATAGTTTTTAAGACAATTATTAAAGTAATAAATTTAAATCTGCAAATTAAAGACTTTTAACACCTTTTAAGACCTTGTGAGAAGCCTGTGAAAAGTTTATTCAAGTGAATACCAAGGTTATCAGAATGAAAAAACATTTAGTTTACCGAAATAGAAATAATGACAAAACCTTGCCAAAAAATAAAGCAAATTAACTAAAACTTTGACAACATTTTACAAAACGAATTAAAACTAACTAAATTTTAAGAGAGAATGTGTCTTTATCACGATGCATCGATATGAGGTCTACTTTCGTTTCATACGTTTGCAGTGTGGACAGGTGCAAAGTTCTGCTGGAAAATGAATTCAGCACCTCCAGCAGATGGAAGCATGAAGTTCTGTAAAACTTCATGGTTGGATGCAATGACTCTGGACATCAGGAAAAACAGTGGACTAACAGCAGCAGATGACATGGAAACCCAAACCATTACCGACTGTGGGAACTTCCAACTAGACTTCATGTAGCACAGTTTCAGCCCCTCTGGGACCATTCAAATAAAGGGCAAAGTTTACTTTATTTTTTATAGGATTCGTTTGTGCATACTGGCTCTTTAAGCATTTACTCCACCCACTGTTTACTGCTTCTGAAATTCCTACTAATTCTTTAATGGATTTTTCTTCTCAAAGCTGTGGTGTCCCTGTTGCTGGTGGACCATTTAATATCAAACTTTTTCCTTCCACAGTTTATATGATTATGCTTGGTTTAGGGCTTCAGCTATCGATTGATTAAGTGATAATTCTATCCAGTCATAATGCTTTTCAATTACATGACAAAATTATAAAGAGATACTAGGCACACTGACCAAAAATAACGTCATAAAATAATATAAAAACACATCTTTGAATCAAAGCTTTGTCCCAAATGACTTATCTATTAAACAACTGTAGATCAATACCAGAAATGTCTAAAAAATACCATACTGACATATATTTAACAATAGTGATGATGAAAAAAAAGTTAAACAGTAGGGAGGGGGAAGTGGGAGGTGGGGTAATAGGAAGTGCAACATGGACAAACGGGGAAGAAGAAAAAGAGGAACTGCCAATTCTTAAAGGTATAGAGGATGATATTTTATTTCCGGGTGGATCATCAAAATAAGTGGTCCTCCTAATTAGGACTGGGTAAAAAAATCGATTTAATCGATTTTTAATCAATTCCTTTACATTTTTGCAAAATCGATGTCTAGGGAATGAGATCGATTTATTTTATAGTGACCCGCGTGACGTTCACATTCAAACAAGCAGGAAAGATGCACTCAAGATTACTTCAAGCCAGATAGCTGCAAATATACCCAATAGTTTGACTGAAGACTTTAACAAATTGGGGCTGACCAGAAAACACCCTGTAGTTGTTACAGACAACGCTGCAAATATGGTTTGTGCAGTGAAGATAATGCATCACATGAATGTCTGCTGTGTCATGTCTGCTTGCTCCATTGAGCCTTCACTTTTTCACTTTTCACAAACAACTTTGCACTTATGACACAGTTTTTTTCACATCTCATGTTTAAACTGTCTGATTTACAAGTTTGCACTTTTTGTTTAATGTGACAGAAAAAAAACAAAATACATGAGTATTTTGAAACACAGTTGAACCACCTCATTATTGTAATAACAGATTGAATCGAAATTAATCGATTTAGAACGTATGAATCGAATCGATTCAGGACTTTGGAGAAAATACCCAGCCCTACTCCTAATTGTTAATCATTCTGGTGTTAATCGTCCAACGTGCTTGTCCCCATTTTTACCTACCGGTGATGAGTCTGACAGTGGAAAAATTGCAAATCTTCTTTTGGAAAGTAAACCTGTTTGAGTGATGCAAACAGCTACTTTTGAACAGAGTGTGCACGAGGAGAAATGGGCTTGTGCAAGCTCTCGCACGTGTTTAACAGGCGTTCCCTCCCAGGAGCGGGTACAGGGTTGTGCATGTATTTTTTTTTTTTTAAGTGGATTCTCAGAAATCCTCCACTATAACTTGAAGTGTAATTAAAACATAATATACAGCCCCTTGATATAAATATTATAGTCCTATCTTACAATTTCTCTTTTGAAAAAAATATTGATATTTTAAAAAGCTGAAAATACTCTTAGTAAATTAACATAACTCTATAAGACGTGTTTGGACTTAAATAATTCCCGAAATAAATAAACATTTATTTCGGGAATTTTAAATAAATGGTATAACTAAATGCTCACAAATATGTATGAGTTAAAATAATAAACTTTCAAAATATTCTAATTTCTCTCTATGTGCCTGTATAGTCAGATTAGATTTCTGACTACATTTTAGATTATTCAACTTATCCTCACAGTCAAAGCAAACGGTCATCTTCAGCTACTTGAGTGGAAGAAACAATGGTTATTTTTGCATAAACACTTTGATGCTGCCAATGTTTAATGTGAAAGCAGAGTAGACGGACACAAACAAAGCTTTACTGTTTCAGACAAAAAGAGCAGCTTTAAGGATACAATCATCACTAAGGGCGTGTGTGAGTCGCTGATGATTGGAAAAAAACCCTGAAAGGATCCAACAAAGTATTTCCTGTTTACTGAGATGGCTACTAAACACTCAGTTTACACAGTTTCTTTCCATTAGCTGCTGTAATTTATTTTCGTAGGTCTGAGCTGAAGGGTCTTGGTATGTTTTCTCTCACTGACACCAAATTTAAAGGAAATCTAATCATTTTCTACTAAACAACATAAAAAATGTGTGGTTTCACCCGACGGATATATCCAGAAAGAACTGTCAGCCAACACGTCCTGCTAAGGAACAAAGAGGGAAATTTCTTTTGCGTATTTTCTGCACATATCAGGGTCAACAAGTATATATGGAAAATATCCCAGGTGAATCAGTTTTTTCTCCCCTACCATTCAAAGCTGTCCGTTCAAATGCATTTGATAGAGATTTCGCATAAAGCATCAAGTAGTTGGCATGGTACTTACTGCTGCAGCTCTGTATCGGTGAGAGGAGAAGTCTGCAGCAGCTGGAGTAAATGTGAAGACTCTGAAGTCATGCTGATATCGCCCTCTTTTCCAGCTTTGGGAGCTGTCTTGTAGAGAGTGGAGCTGCTTAGAGCCAGCTCCAGGGCGTCCATCCAGCAGCGGCCTGAAAAAATAAAAATAAAAAATAGAGGATTTTAAAACAGTGCCAATGGTATATTCTAATACCAAAAAAACTTTTTTTCATGACACCATAAAAAAGTAGCAATAGCTCACCATCAGACTCAGATGCAGCTCGAAAAATCAGGTAGTTGCTTGGTAAGGGCTGCGTGATGGAGCCGACATTTTCTCCCTTTGGACCCTAAACACACAACCAAACACCGTGACTCATGGTGTTTATACTCACCAATAACAAGACTTCAAGAAACGGAACACACAGTTCCAGGTTCTGCTCATGGTACAAAAAGGACTATGTTTAGTTTGTTGAGGAAACAAAGGGAGCAAATTGCATGATGGAGTGTGACAGCCTGTAACAAAATGACTTATTTTGATATTCATTCCATTGTTTAGATACAAATGTGGCTCTGCTGGAGTTCAGAAACTATTTTAGGCTGGTATTACTCCTCAGATGAGGTTGTTCAGGAATTACAGTTGCTGTTACTGTTGCTGCATACAGCTGGATACTTGGCACAAACACTTTTCTCTCACTTGCTAGAAACTAAGTGTAAATACAGAGGAGACAATGATCCACAATGATAGATCTTTATTTCCATATAATTAGCATTTTTTTGCTAAAACACAAGAGTTTTTCCATTCATTTGTCCTACAGAAATGTTTTTTTTTCTTCAATGCTTTAAAATGCTACTCCATCTTATCAACTTTAAATGCCGCCTAATTTAGTGATACTGGCAGCAGGTACTACATTTAGTTAAATTATTATTAAATTATTTTAGTTTAAATCAAAAAAACTAATTTAAAAGGACGTTAAGCAAGTGCAAGTAAAAAAACTAATAACTAATTGACAAAAAACCCTCACTGAACAATTACATTTCTTTAAAAAACACACCAAGTATGATTTGACATTACACATTTTTAAGCTCCAATTTTGTCAGTCTTTCTAAATTCCCTTTCTTTCATATTGTCACAAAGATCAGAAACTCTCAAAACTGAACTGTGTGTTTGACCAGTAAGTCACTAGAAACACTTACTTTGACAGCCCAGATGGATTTATCCAGGGGATGGTAGAGCTTGAAGCAGAAGCCATCTTTCTTAGAGGGTCTCTCGATCAGCTTGCATGCACTTAGCAGGATGGTGCCCACCCAGTGGTCTGTTTTAGGTGTCTTATAGATCAACAGCACACCAGGCCTTAAGGCACACCACAATTTGGTCCAACTCTTTAAAGAACCACGGATCTAAACAAATCACATGGAACGTGTCAAGTTATAAATCTAAATACAACATGTTAAAAGACTCAGCTTATTTTGCCTTATTTTCCCCTAATAATTAAATAACATTATTTGGAAAAAAAGCAACATCTTGAGGTAAAGTAGTAAGAAAATGGCCACAAACTGTTCTTCTAAAGGGACTACACTCATCAAACAACCAAATTAGTTTAAGAGCAGATTAAGAAAAACAAAATCAATGCTTTGGAGAGGTGAGACTATAAAAAAAGCCTGGATTTTTTTTCTTATAAAAAACCTCTAGGGATAGCTAAAAAGATCTGCAAACCTGACGCTGTAACAACAGTTATAATATGAAGAATGGGCCAAAATACCAGCAAATTATAGTGAGAAGCTTCTGAAATACACCTAAACATCTAAGAAGAATTATAAAGTGTAAACAAAGCAGTTCCACCAAATCAAGAATATTTCCAAATTGAACATCTAGCAGTTAGAAATAAGGCTAAAAATCCTAAAGTTCCAATCTGAGTTATTGTCAATAAAGACAAAACTGGTTATGTGAACTCTAAATATGTAAACCTCTGGCTCCACATGAATAAAAATATAATTTTATCAAATAACTGAATAACTTTTAAGCAGACTTTTTAAAAAGACATCATGTAGCGTTAAATTTTATAGCCAGAAAATTATGAGCTTTTGTATCATCAGTCACATAAATATCATATTCCATGAGGTATTCTCAGACCTTGAGCCAATTGGACATGATGACAACACTGGGGTCCTTAAGTGCAGTGGACAGTTCCTTAGCTGCCCTCTTCTTCTCTTGTCGATAATTTTGCTTCTGGACCTAAAGAAAAAAAAAAAAAGAAGAAAACAAAATGAGTCATCCATCTCACTGAGGAGAAAATAAAACGCAAACACAAGCAGTCACTAGGTGGTGGCAGAGTCAAACAAGCTAGAATATTCATTCATGTATCTCAAATTAGAAGAACATGGAAGGTGTTTTAAAGGTTCCTAAATTGCAGGATGACCCATTTCATGAGAAACAAAGTGTGGCACAATCAAGCTCAACGTTTCCTCGGTTTCTTAAGCAAGGAAGTGACGTGTACCTTAAGAGACTCCTTTCGAGCCAGCTTCTCAGTGGGGGAGGGGCAGTCCTTTTCAACGCCATTAAACATCCTGGACTCAGACTTGAGTCAAGAGTGAAAGAAAGTAAAAAAAAAAAAGAAAACACACTTTAAACCAGGGTAAACATTGGAAACTGTGACAGCCTCTGAAGCATCTCTTTGGAAATTAAAAAGCTAAGCTTTTAGAAGCTCATTTTGAGCAAAACACACAAACAAAATCTGGAAAATAACTACTGTTTATATTACATATAAGTAAAAATGTTAGGTTTGCGTTTGATCTTAATGAGAACACTGCTCATAAAAATATGTAGGAAGCAAGCTTTTTCTATACGTTTTGAAACTAGACCTGCAGCGACCACAAACCAACAAACCTCCATACTTAAGATAACAAGGGGCAACCATTAAACATAACAGTGTCAGGGTAAAGAAAATGTATTTGATGTTTCTTTAAAATACATGACCATTTCTGCAAATATATTAATCAATAATCATTACAGAAAACATCCAATCTTAAAGGAAAAGGCCCAGCTACATCCTTGTGTAAGTGAAAGTATGCAACGACTGTCTTCAATCCAGAATGTTCTTTGGGATTGCTAACAAGGTAAAGGCTCAGAGATGCAGCCGCACACAGGACATTATTTTGTTTATGCACGAAGCAAAAAGATGTGGATGAGCGAGGCAAAGCAACATGTGGTGAGGACATGAGACAAGATGAAATCAAATGGTTTTCACCTGAAACTTTTCTACAAAAGCATATGCAACAATAAGAAAAAGATTGTCTTGCAAAAGCAGCTCAAAGGTTGTCAATCATTTGCCTTGTGGTAGTAAACAACAGTTCCCACCATGACCTTGATCTACAAAATGCAGCTTCATTCGAAGTTTAACAAGCAAAAATATTTTATAGTCCTACTTTGGTTGCAGTGCTTTGCAAAAGTGTTAATACTCATTGATTTTTATTCTTTTTTTATTTTCAAGCTCTGTCATATTAGAGACACAAACTTTCAATTATTTCTAAAGGATCTTATGTGACAAAACAACACGAAAAGGCCACTTGGAAGCTTAAAAACATGGCATTACATGTAGAGTGAAATCACCAGCACAGCTGCAAGTATAGCAGCTTCTTCCAGCATGACCAC